CCTGACCGGGACTTCCTGGTTTCTATAGGTCGTAGGACGAATGCTGGGAAGGGTAAAAAATTCCTCGTTCACCTTCCACCTCCACTTCCCACCATCATCGTAGTATTTCCACCCCTCATCTTTACCCTAGGCAGGAGGCCCTTGCCCTTAATGGGATCTTTGTTGGCAAATAATAATAAACAAACTTCCTAGAATGCTCGAATTATTTTTGCGTATCTTGTGTGAACTAACGTCTTGGGCTTTAGAGATACGACAAATGATAGTTCCTTGTCGTTTCTTTCCTTAATATCATGACACATGCTGCGTTTTGTAGCTACAATGTTCCTTCGTTAAAATATTGAGTTTTTTAATTATTTTGGGGCGTGCAATTTGAACTGATGCTTTGTCCACTTTCATTTTGTGTAGCCACAGGCCTACAATTGCGTTAATGAATATTTTCAGTTCACATTTGGGTGAACAGTGAATCCTTCGCGGTGTCCATGATTAACAGTAATAAAATGCAAAATTCGACGACTAACAAAATAGTTTACTAATGTGTCGGTGCAAAATAGAGGAAAAACGTGAAGTCGTAGGCTTCCGCGGCCGGAGTCTTGTGAATGATCTTGGCTGCCCGGGTGACGACGCGTCGAAGGCTGTGTTGCTCATGAGGAAGACAACGATAAGATTCCAAGAAACCAAGAACAGTCAGGGAAAAAAAACTTTTTTCATACACAGTAGTCTGTTGCTTAGTCACGTCGAGGCTTGTATTGTGGGGTAGACAGAATTTGAACCTGCCACCACCGCGCAAATAGCCATTAAAAAAAAAAAAGACACGCATTTCATGTACTTAGCTGCTATCTGCAACGGAAGAAAAATAGCCAGACAAACAAATTTTCCCAACCCGCCGCCATTCTTCCAGAAATGATTTTACGAATTATCTCAAGGCTTCGGGAGAGTGGCATGCGTTCACCTCGCCTACGGAACAAAAACGAAGGTCAGAATGCACATTTGTCTGCAAGAACTTTGTGCGGAGTACTGGAGGTCATTGTCGCGTCGTCGATGTTCCGCAGAGTATCATTTAGCGTGTTTTGCGCAAACAATCCCTATCAAAATAAATTCCTAGAGAAAGCAGAAAGTTAGTCATATCTGCTCACAGGATTATCCCTAAGCAATAATAACGTAATTTGCTAGGTTGTTGTAAGGAAGCTCATTAAATATCCTCTGTTCCCAAAAATATTTTGAGGTAAACTTCTTGGGGGTAACCTCATTTGGGAGCATTGAGGGAGAGAAAACATACATGCTAAATCGTGTACAATTATTTATAGGGTTATCTGAGCAATATATCAATATCAATATCAATATATCAAGGTCACCTGTCAAACAAATCTAACAGTTGTCTCTTTCTGCCCTTCCCCTTCACCCAGCGGGACACTCAGACGTGGCCGGAGAATAGATCTATTCGTCACATAAATTATAACATTGACAGTTTCTTAACTTGCTTTCCCATTGTCAATTCTTCCTAATTTTCAAAAAAACTAATGTTTAAGTAATAAAAAAATTACTTATTGTTGAGATGCATTTTTAATATTTAATGAAATTTCAGCGGTAAGCTTTATATGCGAGTACTTGGATTGATTTTATAAGAATATGTAAAATATGTGGACTTTTATTAAAATATGTACCAAAACCCAAAATGTGGAAAGTAAAAGTAGCATTTACAACTCTGCGTATTGTGAAACATAAAGATAATGCAAATTAGTATCGATATTACCTTATTTTATAATATTTACTAATAAATCCGTTCCCCGGTGATCATGTATTCACCTAAGACGTACAGTCTGCTAAAAATACCGCCCAGTACGCGAAATCGCCGATTCCCCGGCGCCCCGGGGTGGACCGGTGGCCCAGTCGTCCCTTAAAGAAATCCTGATCGTCCACAATCCACGAAGATACATTTCGTAGCCAGGTCGTCAACTTGCCGGTTCAGCTTTTCCGTGAGCCTTTCACTCTTCCCATCACTCTTCCCAACTCGCCCTTTCGCGTTGGCCCGGCGTCGGCCCTCTTTGAAGGCTCCCACAGACCTGCGCGGGAGATCCGCAGCGGGTGCGGCGCGGAAAGTTTCCCGCTAGACGCGGTGACGAAATCCGCAGGTCCGTTCACACTGCAGCGTCAATTATGATCCAGCGTTTGGTGACAGTTTTCCTCATCCGATGAAGAGGGTGTCGTTTCTCTTCATACAGGGGATAGAAATGCCAAGTTACTGGAATGTTTTCTGAACACATGCTGTATAATGCGTTTCCCTTCTTTATTTACGTTATTCCCTCGAACGAATTGAAGAAGTCTCGATTACATCAGTAACGTATCCCGCAGCTTGAGTTATTCATCCGAACTGGTTTTGATAACAGTTTTTACATCATTATTCTTTGCTCTTAGGACACCTTGAAAACATTTCAAGAGCGTTTTATTGATCTTTTTGGTGATGTTTTAGATCATCAAAATCCGCCCCCTCCTAATAATCACTTCCGACAGTGTGCATGAGTTGGGAAATCTCTTAAAACGAAGTAACCATGACGCCCCTGATTGTTTGGCGTCTCATCCTTCACTAGTGATTAGTAGGCACACGAATATTAGGATACTATAACAATTGAAGCATGAGCCGAAGCAGCGTTGCAAGTGATATTTTTAGAATTTTACAGGAGCCACAAAAGTTAGCTGGAGGCCATGTTATGTAATATTTTGTATTAAATTTCGGGATGTGAAAGAATAAGTGTGATATGGTAATAAAGTGAATAAGTGTAATATGTTTCTTACTGCCTAGCAATATTCGAGATTTACAGCTAAACATACCTAAAATAATGCATGATTAACATGTAATTCTTTGTAACAACATTGTGATCACGATATTACGTGATATAAAAAAGGGCAACACATTTTCCGAAGTATTGCATTTAGCAATTAATTTCAAGTTTTAACTCTCAACATAACTATGTTGCTCAAATATTACTATATTGTAAGTATTTATAAGTTTAATATGTTTTGATTGAAAATCAACGTGTGTGTGTGTGTATATATTTTCAAAACCTCTCTTTCCATAAGTGTAACACTAAAGGTGTTACTCTGCCGTGAATGAGCTCTTTTTTCAACTCAGTCAAATGGCACAATTACAGTTGCATATTTCTTCCTTTCGATCACAGAAGGAAAGAAAAAAAAACTGCCACCACTTGCTGGAAAGGTTTGGTTAATTTCAGCAAAATATTTGAAAAAATAGCAGCTAAAACAAGCATTCGGTAGTTATTTACCCAACTCACCAATCAGACCAAATAACTAATTTTGGTTCACCTTATTTTAATGGTTGGAAGTTATCGTTAATGTGCTTCAAAAAACATGAGGCTATTTCGGTGGGTCCTCTGGAACCCATAGTTGTTATAGATTGCGTACTGCCTTTCATAAAATATAGAGGAGTGTTTTATGTTTGGACTGTCTCTTAACTCTCAACAAAACTCTCTCTTGCAATTCAGTAAAGGCAACTTGAGCTTGCGTATTAACCTGAGATACTTCTGTACAAACACGCGGAATCTCCTAGGACACGATGTAATGCGCTTTCATCAAGCAATTTGTTTTTCATTCTCGTCGCATGATCGCAATTTGATGTAGCCTTTATCGTAAGTTGTTCGAGAGTTGGATGGAAGCACACCAAATCGTAGTTTATACTAGATACGCGTAGTTCATACTGACTGCGCATGTTCGCCGTGAAACTTTGGAATCACGGTGCATTTCCGTAAACAACTTCTGCATTGTAGTATATGTAGGCTATGCTCTGCAGGAAGACATTCCTTCCCGGTATTAATCCGACTATAATGATTTTCTAGGAAATGACTCATTGTGATGGAAAATCAAAGTTTTGAAAGCATTGTCAATACTACGGGGTTGATTTTTTGTGAGTTCCACTCTTATCTTGCAACTCAGTGTTATTTTTAAGTACGGGAGGTCTTCTTTGGATTACTTTAAATATGTCGCTTATACGCTTCTTGGATACCCTCACTTGGCATGTACCAGTATTCAAGCAATATATAACAGTGGTTTGTCGTCTAGAAACTGCTGCTTCAACTCAAAGCCTTTTCGGTTTTACCAGTTCGATGATGATGATGATGATGATGATGATGATGATGATGATGTACTCAAGGTATGACGTTTTTCGTTGTAGTTCATTTTTCATCAGAAATTTATATAAAACTCCTTTTCTGACGCACTGACTGTCCTGCTGAAGCAATCATTTTTACAAACAAAAACGTCACCCTCGCGGAGACACTATCGAAAAAAGTTAATATATCAAAACGGATAAATGATTGCTCATTAAAATATTTTGAAACTTATATATTCCACTAAGTAAAATTTCATTTTTTTGCTAAATTGTTATGCATTAAACTAAGGAACCCCTAATATGCAAGAAAATGTGTTTTCTACGTACATCGTTGTTTTATGTACCTCATTTGGTTGTGGTAACGCAGGTGTTAGAATGTTTCTGGAGCTAAGATTCCGTTTATTCTCAATTTTTCTTCTCTTTTTCCCAGGATTTTCTTACGTTAGTGCAGAAGATGAGAACGCAACCGACCTATCGCCCTCCATCTGCCTTACAGCGTTGTTACACGGTAGCCAATATTTTACGAACTCTTTTGTCGAATAACCAGTGCCCGTTTAACCATTTTTACATTTTCCAATGACTAAAAGGAGTACATAAACATTACTCAAAATTCTCTTTTTTTGTAAAATTATTGTCACTTACAAGGGTTGTTACGGTCCATATGTCAATTTCTCCATTTGACGCTATCTAAAATGGTTCTTGTAGAAATTCTTATGAGATTTCACTGCACTTGCTCGTTGGCACAATGTGATTTTCTCGACCTAAATATATCATAGAACTTTTAACATTTATTTAGATTCATTCCGCAGATTTCAGAAAAATATTCTGGTAATATAACAAAATCGAATAAGTACTAATGACGTTTTTTTCTTTGTTTCAGGTCCCCTTCAATGCAGAAAACAGCCAATGCATTTGCTTGTATATCGCCTAGTGCATCAAACAATATATATATAATATTCCAAATGTGTAGTATGTACGAAACTTCTTTTGTGTATTGAATAGAATGCTTGATATTTTTTCATTACAAACAAATAGGTTTAATTGATACTCAATTCTGTTATTGAGGCATTCCATTGTAACGGGCGTCACCTTGCTCTTTCAAAGTCACTTTTTGTTTCTTGATTTTGGAAATTACAATATTTAATTTTCAGAAACAGGATTTACTTTAAACCCATCGTACATAATATTAAAATATATTTTTTTTAACGGATATGTCATACTCTCGAAAAAAGTTACACTAACGGGTGTAGTAAAGTTTTGATGGAGGTTGCTTCAAACACGTATCAATCTCTGCAAAGTGAAACGCAGAATGTTTACGAAAACTCGCCACTCAGTGTGTGAACACCATTTGTATTTAAAATGATGGGAAGGAATTCTGGAACTCAAGAAAACGTGCACGGACGATCGTCTCCCCCACCCGTCACATACAGTTTTTACTGTCTTTTGACTAAATAAATCGAATAAATATATAAATGAAAAGCAATTAGCATTACGGTATTACGTACTTGGGTTCTCATTTTTGTGTTACAATCACATTAGAGTATTTTTTACCGTATGCAATTGTTATATTTTTGTTAGAACATAATTACATACTGAAATGTGTAGATTAAACATCAAAATCCAATTATCGATTTCTTTACACCTATTTTTGGAATGTTTGATAAATCAACGCTGGGTTTTGACATATTACATTAATACCCAGTATTGTTTCTCAATGTATTTCTTTGCAGTTAATATAGCTCAAAACGATCAATAGAAAACGCAATTACAACCTCCATAAATTTGAGAGAGTATGTGTAAAATATTTGGATTCATATTTCAAAACAAATGATTTAATATACAATGTTTTATTATATAAACATTACATTTAAATAGGATTTTTGCTTTTTTAAATCTAATAAAAGGGACTGATAAGATGTAAAAAACGAAATTTTAAGTTTTTATAAGTATATTAAATAAAAGTTTTTAATACAATATTTAGTACACAATCTTCCTAAATACTGCTTGGTGTGGAATTTTAGGAAACAGTCCTTGGGCTGTAGAGCCACATTACATTTAATATTTTGCATTCGTCTTTAACAAACCACTGCGCCTTTAGTTGTCTTGAAATTGCATAAGATGATTATTTCCATTATATCGCAGTTCTGTTGGTATCAGTAATGGTTTCTTAGGAAATATTGGTCTTCAGAGAACTGAGCTGAGGTATCTAGTAAAACTAGGAATATCTAGTAAATGTATCATTCACGAAAAGATACAGATTAAATTCCGTTAAAATAAATTATGTTACTTGCGTAGATACCATTCTGAAATCAGTCCGACTCTATATTACCAATCACAATCGCTTTCAATTTAAAATACTTAGCTTATTCTGCTGTTGCCAAATTGAAAATACATGTACAGTTAACAATGTGTACATTAATAATTAAAATCAAAACATGTGCAATATGACTAATAATTAACTAATTATATTGTTGAATCATGTTTGATATGTCAAATAATGGGCAGTAATGGGTTGAGCGGCAAATTACGTTATGAACTGTTGAGTTTTTCTCGTGAATTTAAATTTTGTCTTCATCAAATCCCTAAACCGAAGTCCTCCCCCCAATATTTGCAGGGCCAAAAATCAAAACCAATTATTTTGTTATAAAATAGGATAAATCTAACTCAAAATAGAACATGTATGAAATGTTTAAGATACAGAATGGAACTAAGTGATAACACCCCTTGTATCTCTTCTACCGCATAAGATACGAAGATGCTGTTTGGACAATCCATTGCATTAACAGGGGCTACTTGATTACGGCATACTTCGTCTTTGCACTATTTTTTACTACGGAGATAAAAGGTCGCTTATAATTTTGCCGAAAGATGACTTCCTCCAAGGACGATTCAAATGCTACATAGAGGATTTTTGTTTGTAACGGTTTGTTTCAAATAAATTATGATTGATATGAAATTGATCATTCATTTTTGTATTATTGACTTAAAATGTATAATAGAATATGTTGTCACAGTTGTCAAAATAACCTAAAAGTATTTGAGGGACAAAATAAGAACTTTCCGGAATCTTGTATGCATCATTTGAGTCTTCCTTGGATTGTTACATTTGCCCCTATTTGATAGACAACTTGCCACGCTTTGGTGTGTGGCAGGTCCACCACATCTCCATGTGTCTGAACGTGACCCGTTTATCAATTGCATAATGGATTTCTGCAAATCAGGGACAAATGCCACATGTGTATGCCGTTCAGACCAATAGTAGATTTTTCTGAGATTTATTAAAAAACGTGTAGCCGAAGGACGCATCACTCTGCGAAATGTATTTTTCCGACAGTTATTCGAGCTATGCCACTTGCGATTAATGTCCCTCCAAGTGTCTTTTCAATGCGTGTTTGGTGTTTACTATCCCTGAGGACCATCTAACATCCCTATCCTATAACGTTACTAATAATAATAATGCTGTAAGAATCAATTCAAATCATGTTGAAAATCAGATTAGAGTAGATGTAACCATGACTATGCACGAGGTACCTAATGTGAAATAAACGTGAATTATTTCTACAAATTAATGACCGACACCTCCCTCCCCAATTTGGTTTGCCATCAGTGCTTACAAAAAATTAATATCCAAATAACTTAACAATTACTTGGATATTTGAAGTTTCTCGTTACATGTTCATGGGCAAAAAGTGATTATTTTTGTGCCACCTACATCTAAGTTCTAAAAGATTGTAACATTTATTCCAGTATTATGCCTGCCGTTTGATAACAAGTGTGTAGTGAGCAATGACATGCATGATTGGTTCGTGCCAAACTACTAGGAAACTATCATATTTTCTTAAGACAACGCCTGCTCCGTAGGACCGCGCTCGTTGAGTGGCCAGCTCGAACTTCGCGCCGGAGAGGAGGGCAAGTAGGAAGTTGGAAGGTCGCGAAATAAAATTTTAGACTTAACCACCGCCATCTTCATAGCTGCCGCAAATACAAATGTTGGAGAACTTGAATTGAATTGATGCCTTATTGTACGAGGCGAAACTCGGGCCATCAGACTAGCTCATCCGTCTGGCCACGCAAATTTCGCTACGCTCCTTTCACCAACTAGCGGAGAAAGGAGGTATTTCTTGGGTGACGATTTGAATTTAGCTCAGAGGCATCATTTAGGCTTCATCTTTTACATGCAAGTAAATCTACTAACAAGGGGGACGCCGGACACAATTCATCAGTCAGGGCATATCGAATATTCAGTCTAGGAAAAAAATTCATACCAATGGTTTAGTAGGCACTAGAATTGTTCACAGAACGGATGTATAAAAGACAGCATGTTCTCCATCGGGGGAATTTAAATCGTCTACTTCCATTAAAATCTCAATGATTTTGCGCCGCATTACAAAACTTTGTCAACGTTCGAATGCGAAAAAGTAAAAACGACAGAATTTGTACTGTGGATGAAGTGTGTTTGCATTTCCTCTCCTTACTGAAGTATTGTTCAAAAGTAAACAAATTTCATTTCCAAATAATTTATAAAATAGAATAATTATTCACACATTTTAATTTGTCAGTTTCTAGAACAAATATCTGGACATCGAGTATGAAAGTGTAATGTTGACAACCTACTTGAAACTTGACTAAACTGAAAATAAAATAAAAATGGTCTTGAAAGGGTACTGCCGCTGGGCAGTGCAGCGGGAGATTTTATGGGCGACCGGCTCGCTCGCGAAGAGACCGCTTCGTTCTGCGATTGGCGAACTCAGGGGCCCTACTGCTGTGAAGCCGCTCCGAGTTTCGGCGAATGTTTTAACCGCCGCACTTTTCTCGGTCCGACATGGAAAATTATTTTCGTGGCACACACTCGTAATTTAGCGGCCCGTTCCAGTGCCGAACACCTCTTGTGAACCACACTTGTGGATTAGTGTAACGGAGAAAATGACATTTGCTTTTGTTTTTATTTTCGACATTACCCAGCTATATTACCGAACAAATATTATCAGTTTCTTAATTCTGTGATGTACCATTAACTACAACGGTGATTCTCTGTGTAAGACGAGAATGAGAGATTATCTGTATGTTGGCCTATCTCGACTGTCAATTGCCGGATTTGATACTTCACCAATCATTTAACATTTTAAAAAATCCCTTTTTCACATGGAATGCCGCTATTACGTGCAGAATTTTGGAGTGGATTCCGAATGAATTCATTGTAAAATGAATGTAATGAGTAAAAGAAAAAAGGTCGGTTGAATTGCAGCAGATCTGAATAAGATGGAATATTGACTAATTAACCCTGTGCCAAAATATGTTACTCTCTTATTAGTATCTTAAGAGTTTTTATGAAGGAACACTCCACATCAACCAGTATTAAATATACTAATATTGTACATCTGTACAAAAGGTGAAACATGATTTCACTGTTATTAGTGATATATTTTATGCCAATCAACTTTGTAATTGAATTATATTTTGTGGTTTAATTTTAATAGTTATAATAATTGTATATAATATTTGTATGATTGTTGTAAGTTTACACAAAAGTGTTTATATATTTTTTATGTTTTCTGTTGTTATGTTATGGAATAGACTAGAATTTTAAGGCTCATGTTTGCTCAGATATAAATTGAAATGAATAATAATCATAACATTCAATAGTGGTCAAGACCTCATGTAAACATAAAACCTATTCTCCTTTTTTTATCCTTGTATTACGCATAACATTGTTTTTTTCTGAATGTCCATTATTGATGTTTTCATTTACTGTGCTAATAAATATCCTAGAATATTGTTTCTGAGAGTATATAAATCAACAAATTAACAGATTAAAACTTCTTGAGCTAACAGAATTGTAGATACTAAGTTTTAGTTAAATCTTCCATGATTGTTATCTTCAAATATATTGAAAACATAGTAAAAGTGATTTTATTTATGGAATCAGTACATACAATTAACGTTCTGAAGTAGTTTCTTTAATTCTTGTAATTTTAAATGTACATTTAAGGTTTGGGTAACCTGTGACAATGGCAGCTCGGGGGAGGAGACATGGGAGGTATGAACTCTAAATTGAACATTTTTCTCAATTGTTTATTCAAAACAGTTATCACATATTTCAGGCAAAAACAATCTTATTGTTTTGTTTCAAAAACATTAAGGAGGGTGTCCAATTAAATATCCCCCCTCCTCTTTCGAAATATTTTCTGGGATCTACCCCTGGCCTACAGCTTGATGTTACTGAAACTGATTGTATAGAGATATGTCCTAAACTTAATTTCCTTTTCATCTTTTTTAAACTTGACTAGTTTCCAACCAAATCATGAACTTATATTCATAAAGTTTATAGATATTGATGAACATCAGCAAGACATTTAACATTTCTGCCTTGAATCACAATTACCATCTGTCGAAGATAGTTGACTACTATTTTTTCTGTTTTGTTGTTTCTTTCAATTCTGAGGGGTGCTGTATGCTTATTAGAAAGAAAATGAATTGAAATTATTGAAGAAACTTGTAGCTTGTAAAGTAATTTTATTGCCAAAATCTGGTGAAAAGTTTGCAAATGAACTCTTATTAAAGTGCCATGGACATTAATTAGGCTTCATTGATGACTTTGAGCCTCAAAATTCTCTCTTCAGTTCTTTAGCATTTGTTGTATTAAACTTTCAGAAGTTTGTATCTTCAAAGAACATTTAAAAA